GGTTGGCATTTGTATCAAGACTCAACCACCTGCTGGGCTGCACCGGCCACACTGCCTGCTGCAAGCGGTTCTGGGGATCCGCCTCTGTTTCCCCCAGTGTTGGTTGATAGAAATTTCTCCCAATTTCATCCAAAAACATTAATGTGCGTGGCAATCTCCACGGCTCTGGGTGAGTGGGGACATGAAATGTTTTGACAGTGGAGAGCTTCCTCCGGCCCGGGGTGAGCTGACCCCACGCAGGCACCCAGGGGTGGGGGCTTTCCCTGTTGTTCTGGTGCGGGGAGGGCCAGGCTCTGCTGGCCGGGAGGGGCAGGGGTCCCAGACCCTCCATCCCGCCTCTCCAAGTGGAGCAGTTGAATAGTGGTCCCCAAAACATGTGTCCCTAATGCCTGCAACCTGCGGTGACCTTTTTAGGAAAAAAAGATCTTTGTAGATATGATTGAATTAGGAACCCCGACAGGAGACTGTCTAGGGTTAGCCGGGTGGGACCTAAATGGTGTCACGAGTATTCTTATAAGGGGACACGCAGGGCGGAGACATAGAGGAATGCCACCTGAGGACAGAGGTGGAGGGTTACGGCCACAAGCCTGGGGCGTCTGGAGCCACGTGAGCTGGAACTGAGGGATGGTTCCCCACCCCAAGAGGGAGCACGACCCTCCCAACACCTTGATTTTGGACTTTCGGCCCCCAGATCTGTATGAGAATGAACGTCAGTTGCTTTAAGCCTCCAAGTCTGTACACTGTAAATTGTCACAGCTGCCACAGCAAACACCACACCGGGTCTACGCAGGAAGAGGAAGAAAGAGCGCAGGTGGTCCTGGCCGGAAGACCTCTGGTGTCCCGCAGCCCCCACCTGAGGCCCCCCCCAGGAAGAAACAGCCCCCGGAAGCCAGGGGCACCCCCCAGTGGCTCCAGTCTGCCCTGCAGCCCCCAGTGCAGGGTTCCCCGACTTCTGTTGGCTGAGCCCGTGGGCAGTGTAGACACCTGCAGCCTGGTCCGGTGACTGGGTCCTCGGCGGGGGTGTCGGGCTCCTGCCTCGTCCCCCAGCCGCCAGCCCCCCGCACGGTCTGGAGCGAGGACTGCGGACAGCCCACCTGTGCCTTGGTTACGACTCACCACACTGCACTTTCTGGGGGCCCCGAATGCGACTCGGGGGAGGCCCGTGGGGCCCTGACTGCCGTCTTCCCCTTCGGGCGCCTCCGCGGAGTGAGGCTTGGCATCCCTGCGCTTCCCAGAACCGTAGCGCTCAGCCCGAGGCACGTGAAGTGAGGTGCTCTGCAACCCGAGGTGGCCGGGTCCCAACACTGCATGGGGCTGCCCACAGTGTGACCTGGGCCTTCTTACCTCTGAAACGGGTGATTGCACCCTGGGGGTCCCAATGCCCTGCATAGCAGTGTGCACCCCACCATGGCAGGCGGCGTGGGCGTATGCACCCCACCGGTCCCTGCAGACCCCCCATGCCAGAGGTCCGTGTCACAGCAGCTCTGGGGGCCCCCAGCCCCTCCACCAGGACTGGGACTTCTGCAGCAGGCGGCGGCCGCCAGCCCTGGCACTGCGTGGCGCCGGCAGAAGGAGGCTGGCCCGCTCCCATCCGACCTGGTGTTTGATATCAGGAGGAAGAGCCGACAGCGGCTGTCTCGCTTCCTGTGACATTTTCAACGTCCGCGCGCGGCATGGGGCGCGTCAGAGCTGGATTCCTACTGATACCGAGGGCCACTCCGCTGTACGGATCTTTTAAAGATCTGCTCATCTGTCCGGGGGCACTTAGGTGTCTCCCCTTTGGGCCCTTGCAGATGACGCGGCTACACACAGGGTGCATGAGCGTCCGCGCGGCCACCCCTTTCCTTCTGCCGTAGGCCTCGGAGCGGAATTGCTGGTTCCTATGGTAACTTTACAGTCAACCTCGGGAGGAGCTTGCCAGACGGTTTTCCACTGCGGCGGGCGGCTGTTCGGCTCACAACCGCAGCGGCGTGTGCCAGGCTCCGCACTTGGATTCCAGTCACCCTGGTGGGTGTGAAGGGGTGTCTCACGGTCGTCCTGATGCGCATTTCCCTTCCCAGGTGTTTAGCTGGTCTCCTGTGTGGGCCTCGGGCTGTCGGGCCTCTGGCTGTACCTGGGACGGCGACAGCCATCGCCCACTCGTCCTGCTGCAGGTGGGAAAACGTATCCAGGGGAGACATTCCGAGAAGCCAAGGAACCAAGACCTTGCCTGCTGTCAGGGGGTCACCGGATCTGCCATCCGGCCCCCAGGAGCGTGCATGGACTTTCCCTTTGATAACCCCGAGACCACATTTCACAGCCGTGACGGCTGTCCCGGGGGACATTCGTGTGTGTCTGGAAACATTCCTGATGGCCATGACTGGTGTGAACACCGTGGCACCTAGTGGGAAGAGCCCAGGCGTGCTGCTGGACCCCCATAGTGCCCAGGACCCCCACAGCACAGAGTCACTGTCTGCAGTGCTGGTTTTGAGGGGCCCAGTTGCATATAATCTTTTCCCACCTATTCTTTTCACTGAATAATTTTGTATGAACGTCTTCCTAGAAGTCCCTTCATTCTGTGTCCTCTAAAGGTCAGGACTTTCGGGGCACCTGGGAAGCTCAGCGGGTGAGCATCTGCCTTCGGCTCAGGGCGTGATCCCAGGTCAGGGGATCGAGTCCCACGTCGGGCTCGCCGCTGGGAGCCTGCTTCTCCCTCTGCCTGTGTCTCTGCCTTGCTCTCTGTGTCTCTCAGGAATAAATAAATAAAATCTTAAAAAAAAATAAAGGTCAAGACTTGCAAAGAAGATCAAAGACCTTGGGTGGTGAGTCCAAGCTTCCCATGCGTAGTCTTGCCGCCAGAGAGCCCCCCATGAAGCCCAAAGCCTGCTGAATCATCCCGTCGGAAACTGGACTTCACATGGCGGGGGGGCTTCAGAGGCCCCTTCTGGTCCCCGAGCGCAGCCCCATGAAGGCTGACCTGCGTGATCTCCAGGGACCTCCCTGGGCCCATCCTGCATGCTCCCTCCTTCCCATCTGCAAACACCCCCCATCTGGGAATACTCTCCCTTCCGCCAAACCTTTCCTCCCAACTTCTCCTGTTTACTGGGGTCTGAGAGCTGCACCCCTCAGCAGAGCCTGCTTAGAGACCTGGTGTGGCTTTCCCCTCATTTGCTGGAGACCTCAGGAGAACTTGAGCTTGCTCTTCTGTTAAGTGGACCATGGGACTTCAACCAACATCAGACAGGTAAAAACCCGGGGTGGTTTGTAAATCCCACGAATGGGGTCAGGAGTGAGGTCACCTCCGGAAACTGATTTCAGTTCAGCCCCCTACGAAGGGGCTACTGACACTGGGGTGCTCCGAGCTCCTAGGAGCCTATGGGGTGAGTGCTCTGCAGATGCCCCTTTGGCTGGGGGAGCTGCTCAGCCGTGGAAGGCCTTTCTTGTCACTGCCATCACCACGGGGCTGGCACCTCTGACCCTGGACTGCTGAAGCCAAGGTCAGTGGCCCAAAGCTGAAGTGTCCCTTGCTGTGCCGCCCTGGAGGCGGACCCTTGTCCCCACACCCCCTTGTGCTCTGTTCAGGGACCTCTCTAGGAGCTGACCAGGACCACTTCCCTGCTCCGAGCATGAGATTCACTTCCCGAGGACCCCTTGATCGTGGCCCCTATGACTGAGGGATAAAATCCAAGCCAGAATGTGTGCAAAGCCTCTGCATCGCACCTCACTTGCCTACCGTCTCCCATCTGCCCCCTACCCTGCTGGGTCCCACCTCCACACCTCTGCAGAGAGGGCTGTCCCCCAGCCGTCTCTCCAGCACAAGGGACCTAAGCCTCAAGGCTGCCTGCAATGCTGGGAGCTCCCAGGGTCCCTACTCCTCAGGCCTGACCCTGCCCTGGCCCAGACACAGTGGGAACAGACTTGGTCTACAAGGGTCCCCACATTCCCTGGGCTGCTGAGCTCTTGACAGACTATCCCATCTGTGCTCCTACTCCTGAGTCCTCCAACCGGGGAGGAGGACCTCTGCGTGCCTGGGGGATGGGGTGCCTCTTGGGGCTCCAGGAGGGAGGATGCTGATGGGGGGCACACTGAGGACCGGGCGCGGGGGGCGGGGGGGGGGGCGGCAGGCCCGGGAGGTGCCCAGCGGGAGGTTGTAGGCAGGGAGGGGGCTGCGGATTGTCTTCCGGCCCGTCTGGCGAGCAGGCTCCCGGCGCCCGGACGCTGTCCTGGGGCCCCTGCGTGGCCGGGCCGCAGCTCCAAGCCCCGCCATCGCCCCTTTAAGAAGGGGTCCCGCGTCCCTGCCCAACGGGCATGAAGCCCCCAGACGGAGGGAGGGCGGGGCGGCGCTGGGCCGGGGCGGGGGCGGGGCTGCGCGGGTGGGATCCCAGGCGGCGGCCCAGCGTGCGGGGCGGGGATGGGGCCGGGGGCGGGGATGGGGCCGGGGATGGGATGGGGCCGGGTGCGGGGATGGGGCCGGGATGGGATGGGGCCGGGTGCGGGGATGGGGCGGGGATGGGATGGGGCCGGGTGCGGGGATGGGGTGGGGCCGGGTGCGGGGATGGGGTGGGGCCGGGTGCGGGGATAGGGCCGGGGGGCAGGGATGGGGCCGGGGCTGGGATGGGGCCGGGGGCGGGGATGGGGCCGGGGCTGGTATGGAGCCGGGGGCGGGGATGGGGTGGGGTGGGAGCGGGGATGGGGCCGGGGCGGGGATGGGGCCGGGGACGGGGATGGGGTGGGGTGGGGGCAGGAATGGGCCGGGAACGGGGTGGGATGGGGCCGGGGGGCGGGGTGGGATGGGGCCGGGGCGGGGCCGGGCCCGAGGGCGGGGATCGGGCCGGGGGCGGGGCCGGGGGCGGGGGCGGGGCGGGGGCGGGGCCGGGTCCGGGGGCAGCGCGGGTGGGCCCTGCGGGGCGGCTCCCCAGTGTGCGGGGCGGGGGCAGGGGCGGGTCGGCCTGGGGGGCGGGTCCGGGGATGGGGCCGGCGGGGGCGGCGGGGTCGCGCGTGGCGGGGGCGGCGGCCGCGGGGCGCGGGCACCATGGGCTGCTGCTCGGGCCGCTGCGCGCTCCTCCTTCTCTGCTCCTTCCAGCTGGTGAGTGGCGGCTCGTCCTCGGGCCCGCGGGGGCATCCGGCGCCGTGGGCTGCAGCCTCGGCGGGGCCCCCGCAGGCACGTCCAGAGCCAGCCAGTCGGTGCCCGGGGGCGCGTGCGCTCGTGGGGGAGGGCGCAGCGGCGGGCACCGGGCGGGGGACAGGTGCGGGGCGCGGCTGGAAGGGGCGCGGGAGAAACGAAGGGCTCGGGCCGGGCGTGGACGGTGCCTCGCGGCGTCGGGCGGGGAAGGCGCGGGGCCGGGTGTGCGCCGGGGCCGTGTGCGTGTCGTCTGCGCGCTCCTAACCCAGGGTCGGCGCCGGGCGCTGAGCGAGCCGCGGCAGCCTCGGGTGCGGTGTGCCGTGAGGGTGCGGGACTGTGAGGTGCAGTCGGGTGTGCATCTGGGGGCAGGGCCCCCTCGCCCTCCCCAGTCCGGGAGAGATGCGGGGGAGAGAAGAGGGCGCGAGCTGGCGCCCGGACTTGCACTTGGGCCCTTTTGCGCTGCGGATTAACTGGTGCCCCGGACCCAGAGCTTTGTCAGAGAAGTTGGGCATCTCCCCGCCCAGTTTCCACTTAGCCGTCGGAGCTCCAGGCCGCCTGGCGGTTCCCACATTCCCGGAGCGCAGCCAGGACCCTGGGTGGGGGTGGGGAGTGCTAAGCCGAGGTCTGGCCGCAGGGCTGGGGAGGGGATGCTGGTGGGTCCCTGGGCTCCCATCTTCAAAAGGAAATCCTGCTCTGTTGAGACCAGGCCGGGTGGGCTTCCGGCTCAGCGGGGCAGGGGGCGTTCTCCCTCTGAAGCCTGGAGGCCCAGGGAAGACGAAGTTTTAAGCACAAGTCCTCCCAGGCCTGTGGCCTCCTGTCCTTCGCTTGCCCTCTGTGTGGGGGTGAGGGTTGCTGTCGGTTGGCAGGGGGCTGAGGTACCAGGCTGCTGTGTCCCACGTGGAGGAAGGAGGGAGCTTCCAGGGGTTCCCTGCGGGTGCACACCCAGTGCTTTGGGAGCCCGAGGGGGTGGGGTGAAGGGCAGCATGGAGGAGGTGCTGCGTCTGCAGGGTCTGGCTGCACAGGGGAGGCGGGGAGATTGCTCAGGGCTGTGCAGGAGGCTGGGCTCAAGGGCTCTTCCAGGGGCAACAGGGAGCTCCCGCCACCATGCAGCAGAGGCATCCCCTGCTACATTTTGGTAGGAGGCTCCCTCAGTGGAAGCCCTGGGGAGGTGCCTGGGGGTAGGGTGGGGAAGCAGGAAACGGGAAGGGAAGGTCTGAGGGAGAAGGACGCTGAGGAGCCCAGGCTGGTCCGGAGCTCTCCAGCCTGCTGGCGCCTGGAGATCCTAGAGCAGAGTGGCCTTTGGCGGTGGTGGGACTTTGGTTTTCGTGTGTTAAGTTTGGCGTGTGGGACGTACTCAGGGTTGACTTGTGACCTGAGGTTCAGGGCCCCAGAAATAGATGTCCCGGGTGAGGGATGTGGCCTCGGGTCTGGAAGGCTTGGGTAGGGTCATGCTGCGTGTTTCACCGCTGCAGCAGACGGTGGATCCTGCGCAGGGGCACCCCCACAGCCCCTGGAGAAGTTGCTGCGACCAAGGGCGAAGGGTGACCCAGGCAAGTTCCAGAGCTAGGACAGAACTGTGTCCCCACGTGGCCAGCGGGGCCCAGCGGAAGAGCAGCAGAGAGCTTTGAAAGGCCTTTTGTCCTGGGCACCCCTTCCCCCCCCCCCCCCCCCCCCCGTGCTTCCTCTGCTGGGGGGAGGGGGCGGCAGACCGTAGAGCTCTGGTCACCGCGTGTAGGGTGGGGGCGCCGTGGGGGGAGTCCTGGGGCCTTTTTTTTCTCTTGTTGCTGAGCTTGAGAGTCTTCTCTCGTTACCAAGCTACTGGACAAAGGCCTGAGCACCTCTTCTGGGAGCCTTGTCCCTGGAGAATAGCGTGAACTTGGCCCGCCCTGAGCCAGCGGAGGGTGCTGTGGGGGTTCCCAGGCTGTGCCACGACGTGGACAAGAGGGAAGCCTGCGCTCAGTAGCTCAGTAGCCGTGTGGGGTGGGCGGGCCCTGCAGCGAAATCTCTCCCTTTTCCCTGCTCGAGCACTGCCGGGGCGTGCTAAGCCCTCTGGTGCGTGGCTCAGACAGGAAAAGGATGCCCCTACAGCCCAGCGCCTGCGCTGGACACTGTGCCCAAGCTGTAGGCTCCCTGGGGAGCACAGCCGTTAGCGGGACGCTCCTCCAGTCCCGGCATGAGCCTGGACCTCGGAGAACGGTGCCAGCGGCGACATGGTGCGGGGAGTGAGGGGAGGTGGCAGGGGAGTCGGGGCCGGCTCATTCCGTCTCCCCTGAGTGCCTGGCACTGGCAGGGGGTGCTGAGGCAGGGCACATACCCCAGCCCCTGATTAGGGTCATCGGTGCAAAAGAGGCGGCCCGGGGCTCACAATGTAATTTCAGTCTGTGTCTAGAACAGGTGGCGCTGGCCAGCTGTGCCCGTGAAGCCTGTGAGGCGCACATGCCTGTGTGCGTGTGTGCGCACGTGTGCATTTCTCTTTCTCCTTGCCCCGCAGGGACACCCGTCACCGTGTAGGCCTGTCCTGCGTGGGGACCCCCCTCCCCCAGAGCTTTGCCCCTCATGCCAATCCCTCCACTCACCCCGACCACCCCGACCTGTGCCGGGCCAGGGCTTCCTCTGCCCTCCTGGGCGGGAACACCCAGTCCCTGACCCCTCAGTGGCCGGGGTCTGTGGGGCTGTCCTCCGTTGGGCTGGCCAAGAGCTGCCGATCCTCAGCTGTCCCTTCAGGCTGGGCTCTCCTCCTAGGACAGAGGCAGGGGGAGGCAAGATCTCTGCCCTCCGACGCTGATCTCTTTCTCCCACATCTCTAACTAAGGAACGAATGTCTGGGGGCCTCCTCTGGGCACCGGGACCCACGCTGGGATGGGGCCGCTGCCCCCTGACCAGCAATGAGGCACATTAAGGGCCGGGCAGTGGGCCCTGCACAGAGACAGACCTGTCCCTGCCGCGGGTCAGCTCCGCTAGCACCTCAGGGGACCCTGGGGAGTGGGCTGCCTGCAGGGAATGTACCCCAGCCCCTTGATTAGGGTCATCGGTGCAAAAGAGGCGGCCCGGGCTCTTTTGGGTGCAGAGCAGGGGCGTAGGCCTGAGGGACAGAGGAGTTGGCCCCGGGACTTTCCATCACGCACGCACAGCCGTGTGCGGGGTCCCCATGGGGCAGCAGTGACATGTCTGCAGGGCTTGGGTGGTCGGGCTGCGTGAGCCAGGGGCATCCCTGAAACGGGGCCAGAGAAACACGCGTCCCTCAGGGCGGGGGGTGGGGGGCGGCGGTGCCACCCTCTCTGGGACAGAGGCTTCCGTGGCCACAGGCCGGAATGGACGGGAGGGGGCTTGATTTCGGCTTGTGCTCGCCCTGGTCTCCGTTCTCTACCGCGATTCGTAGCCCAACGGACGCTTCCTTCCACGAGGGAGCTCGGGAGCCTCCTCCTGTGGGCTCCTCGCCTTGGAAGAGAACGTGGGTGGGAGGAGGGGCAGAGGGAGAGTCTCCCGCAGACCCCGACGCGGGGCTCCATCCCGGGACCCTGAGATCACCGCCTGAGCTGAAGCTAAGCCCCTGGTCCTCCTGCCGGGCGTTGGGAGCAAAGTAGGAAACAGCAGTGAGGGGCTGGGCTGGCCTGGTTCTCCTCGGAGACTGTCCGCCTCTTAGGAGACGATGCCCATCACCGAGCTGCCCGGCCTCGGGGGGCTGGTCGGGAGCAGGCCACCACGCCGGGCCTGTAGGGTGGGGGGCTGTGGCGTGCAGGAAAGCGGCCCAGAGCCTGGCGAGTGCCCGCTGGACGCTTCCTGTGCCCTGCCCTCGGGCCTGCTCCCGCTCCCCACGCCGCACTCCCAGCTGTCTCCTGGGGCGGACCCCAGCCTCTGCAGGGCATACTTGGAATGTCCCCCTGCCAGAGACGTCCTGGAAATAGCTGCCACTCCTCTGGGGCCAAACACAGCCGCTGGCAGTGCCCAGGATGCCCCCACAGCAGCTGTTCCTGGGGCCTGGTCGGGCTCCTGCCAGGAGCCAGCGTGGAAGAAGGGCCAGGCGCTCCTGCTGGGGTCGGGGCGTCTGTGAGGTCCACGAAGGCCCGCCCTGCTGGGCTCGTCCGTCCCTCTCTGCGGTGCACGCCCGGCGTGCTTGCTCATGGTTCCAGCCCGTGGGAGGGACCTGAGGGGGGCTTGCTTGGAGGGGCTCTCCTCCCTCTTCCACCCTTCAGAGTCCTTCCAGGGCTCAACACAGCTGAGGTCGCTCTGGGTTGGGAACCGGTTCTCAGTGCCAGTGGTGCACTGGTGCGTAGTGGGCCCGCGGTAGAATTGTGGAACGCACCCACGAGCTCCGCCAGGGTGCTGCCCCTTCCCTGCCGGTCTCCCTTCAACCCTTGCTGGACTCGCCTTGTCTCAAACATGGACGGGAAGGTATCAGGTGCAGCGGATTTGGCCCTATTTTCTCCCGGTATGTGCTCCTGGTTTCTGGGGATGGGCCAGGTCCGCAGAATGAATGAACGCGTGAGCGCGTGCGTGTGTTCTGGAGTCGAGCTTGAGCTCAGAGCCGGTAGGTTCCCCCACAGACGAAACATCAAGTTCCCAGGGCACCTGGCTGGCCCAGTCGGTAGAGCGCGTGACTGTTGATCTCAGGGTTGTGAGCCCCACGTTGGGTGTAGAGATTACGAGGAAAGGAAGGAAGGAAGGAAGGAAGGAAGGAAGGAAGGCAGACAGACCTAAAAAAAATCGGGCCCCTACATGTGCCTGATTGCTCTGGTTGGTTCTCGTCGGCCAAGCCTGCGGGCGAGAGGGCAGGAATGTCCTCCAGGTGGAGAAGCTGCTTTGCTGCCACCAGTCCATGGAGGAGGGGGAGCCCGGTAGACGGGGAGGGTGCTGACCTGCAGGCCACAGAGCCCCAGCCCCACCTCCTGCAGAGAGCGCCCCAGAGCCCCGTGACTCGGCCGTGACTCGGCCATGACTCGGCCTCGTGTATCCTGCCCCAGGGTTTGTTGTAGGGCCTTGACCCTGTGAGTCAGGAATGCAGCCCCCGGTTCCCACTCTCAGGTTGAGGGAATGGAGGATGGAGGGGCCGCTGCTCGCCCACAGAGAGCCTTTCAAGGTAGAGGGAGCACCCCAAGGTGAGGTCTGAGGGCCGGGCAGACTCAGGTGGAGATTTTGGTTGGAAGATCCAAGACGGTGGCAGATGCTGGACGGTGATGATGAGACAGGAGGGGCCGGCCTCGGGGGTCTGCTGGCCTCAGGTGCCCGCACTGCTCCTAGGTCACTGCCCTGGAGCGGCAGGTGTTCGACTTCCTGGGCTACCAGTGGGCACCCATCCTGGCCACCTTTGTCCACATCGTCATGGTCATCCTGGGGCTCTTGGGCACCATCCAGTACCGGCCTCGCTACATTGTGGTGGTGAGTTCATTCTGCTCCCACACCCCTCCCACGGGCAGGTGGGGGGATGACCGGCTGGGGCCTCCAAGGGCCGCCTCCCAGAAACCAGCAGAACCCAGGAATCCAGGGCCCGCGGCTGCACTCCGAGACCTGTCCCGGGGTGGGCTCGGGGGGCCTCCCTCCAGTGGAGCGTCCTGGCTGCCAGACCCGGGAGCAGACGTCTCCTCCAAGGTGCTACGCAGAAGCAGGTTGCTGAGTTGGCCTCGTCCACCCCCTGCCCCCCTCTTGGCTTTCTAGTACGCTGTGTGGGAGGCCGTCTGGGTCACCTGGAATGTCTTCATTATCTGCTTCTACCTGGAAGTGGGTGGACTCTCAAAGGTGAGTAGAGTCAGTCCAGGGGTTGTGGCCAGGCCACAGTGAGCATTGGACGGCCTGCTTGTCACCATGTCCCCCCCCCCCCCCCGCCGTGGTCTGTTGCGGCTCTGGCCCTGGCACCCAGAACAGCCCTGGCCCACAGGGGTGACTCAGTAAAGCTCTGGGGAGGACTAGTGACCTGGAGAGGGGCGGTGAGCACTGGCAGGCAGGTGGCCTTGGAGGATGGGCCTGGGAACCAGGGCGGCACCTGGAAGGGGAGGCAGGGCTGGGCGCCAGGGGCAAAGGGACCGGGGCTGCAAGGGGGTGCAGCTGGGAACACCTCTCAGAGGCGCCAGGCGGTCGGTCCCCTGAGCCGCTCTTTCAAATGCTGGTCAAACCCGCTGGTCTCTCCCGGGGAGGAGGGGACACCACACCCAAGCCGTGTTTGGTTAGGAGCATCGGTGCCAACAAATCCTGCGCGGCTGTTGTGGGCACTTTGGAATGTTTTATTTCAGCCTCGCCTGAAGCGCGGAGCTGGGAATGGGGTCGGGCTTGACTCCCGGCGGGCGCGGGGCAGACTGGCCATTGCCTGGTGGGGCCGCACCTGGGGCTGCAGGGGGCGAGACCTCAAGCGGCAGCGATGGCCAAAGACGTAAAAGAGGGGCCTGGAGCACTGTGAGGACACACCCCAGGGTCTGACCTGGGCACGGAGGCCTTCCTGGAGGAGGGGGTGTGAGCAGGCTCCGGGGCCCGGGCAAGCAGAGGGAGGCCTTGCAGGGCAGTGACTGAGAAGGCCTTGGGGTCCCTGCCTCCCCTGGCTGGAGGGCAGGGCGCCCCTCACCCTTGACAGGGCCCACACTGGACTGTGGTGGGTGGGTGGGCAGTGTCCCTGCGGCTCACCAGGTCCCGCCCTCCTCCCCAGGACAGCGAGCTCCTGACCTTCAACCTCTCCCGCCACCGCTCCTGGTGGCGTGAGCACCGCCCGGGCTGCCTGCACAACGAGCCAGAGGCTGGCCTTGGGCCCCTGGGTGGCCAGGCCTTGGTGGCAGGTGTCGGCTGCGCCCTGGAGTATGGCTACATCGAGGCCCTGCACAGCGCCCTGCAGATCCTCCTGGCGGTGAGCTGGGGGCCTGGGGGAGGGATGGGGGGGTTACCCCGTGGCTGGGCCAGGTCTCCGCCTCCCAGGTCTCAGGGGTCCCCGCCCTGCCTGGCAGGTAAGGACTCCCAGCCCGCCCCCACCTGTGCACTTGGGCCACGGGAGCCTCGGTGTCCTGCTGTGTAGAGGGGGCTCGAGCTGGCTCCAGCCCCGGGGAGCACATGAGGAGCCCGAGGCTCTGCTGATGCTGTGGGGCGGGGGCGGGGGGACAGAAGGAGGGCAGCCCGGAGGCGGGTGGGCAGGGCACAGCCCAGAGCCCCACCACAGCCTCCTCCAAGCAGCTGGCCCCCTGCCGCCTGTGTCCCCCGAGGCTTGTGGTCCCCTGAGCAAGGCCACAGGGCCCCGGCACACCTGAATTTCAGATAAAGGACGAGTGTTAGCGCGGGGTCCCTGTGGCATTTGTGACGCGTTTCTGCCCAGAAACGCTTCCTGTGCGTCCAGACCTCCGCTTTCCGCGCGGCCGTGGACTTGCCCTGTGAGCCCAGGGGAGAGGAGCGATCTGCCGTCAGGCCAGTCTGCAGGCCCTGGGGGCTGCCCTGCACGGGCCGTGGGAGCCGTTCTCCCGGGGACCCACCCGGGGAACCCCCCGGGAACCCAGGACGCTGCTGGCACTGGCTCGGGGAAGCCTGTGAGCCGCTGTGAGCCAACAGCTTCCTGCGCCCCCGCCTCCCTGCCCCGTCTCCCACGGGGGCTCTGGGGCCCGATGGGTGGCCAGGAGGGCTGGGGATTGAACCAACAACCGTGTGGGATGGCGGGGGCGAGGGGCGCGCTCTGCTGGGCCCCCAGCTCGCAGCTGCGTCAGGCTCCGCCGTCCACACTCAGCTCGGAAGCGACTTCCACCCACGTTCACCAAACCTGTTCTACGCGGAGAGTGAAACCCGCGGGAGAACGGTGCCCGGGCCTTGGCGGGTGGGGGCGGCCGTGGGGGGACGCGGGGTGCTGACACACGGCGGGGTTGGTGTCACTCACTCGCTCTCCTGTGCCTGCCTTGTGTCCCCAGCATGTGGATGGGAAAACCGAAGTCCAGGGAGGGAGGCCCACGGAGCCGCAGAGCTGGTGGGCAGCCGTAGCAGCTACATAATATCCTAAAATGTCCCCGCTTGAAACAGTAAAGCTTTGTGCAGGGTGGCAGCGTGGGGGGGCTTAGATGGCTGGTTCCGGCTTGAGGTCATGCAGGAAGCTACAGTCGGGCCCCCGGCTGGGGCTCTGGGGCCCTGAGGGCCGGTCTGGCTGCAGGTGCTGCTTCCAAGGAGGCCCTGCCGTGGTCCTCGCCGCGTGGACTCTCCCCAGGACTGCTTGGGTGACCTCACCGCGGGGCGGCTGGTCCTGCAGGGCCAGCGGGTGGGAGGCAGGGGGGTGCCCTGCCTTGCAGTCAAATGCTCTACCCCCGAGCTGTACCCCCTGCACCCTGCCTTGGACATCACACTCGGTCATTCCTGGAGACTCTCAGCGTTTGCCCAGGCCAGCCCTAGTCAGGGTGGGAGATGGCCCCCCGGGGCGTGGGGTCAGGGGGAGGCCCCCCAGGACCGCCCGGGGGCTTCTGCAGGGGCGCAGGCTCTCCCCGCTGTTGGTCTTTTGCGGTGACCAGGCAGGTGGGGCCCAGGTTCCCATCGTCCACCGAGGCCCACCGTCTCTGGACCTGAGCCCTCGGGAGACCCTTCCTCCCCACTGCAGGGGGCTGGCCTGCAGGCTCCCGACCGCCCGCTGCACGCAGTGCGGTCAGCGTGAATGTGTCTGGCGGATAATGTGTTTATAGGACGGAGGTTCTGCATCCCGCTGCTGACGCTGGAAAACAGATTCCAGATCTAGGGCCATCCGTGGCGTGGGGCATCCGCGGCTGCCCACGGCCGACCACGGCATGAGAAACCACAGCAGTTCAGGCAGCCTGCACGCTTCCAGGGTCCCTCCTCTCCAGGGCTACGGACAGTCGGGCTGTGGCGCACTTGGGGTGCTGCCCCCATAGCCGGGAGTCAGAGCTGCCCTTCCCTTGGGTCTGAGGACCTAATCCTCCACAGCTCACGACGAAAAATGGGGGCCACGGTTACCAGAAAACACACAGGGACCCGGGTGCCTTCCTTGAAAGGAGAGAGAACCCACTTGCCGAGGAGACCCCTCGGTGCTTCTGAAGGCATTTACAGACTGTGTAAGAAATGCAACGAAAAGGAAACTGCAAAGGAACAAATTCTTGGTGGGAGTTTCCGAAGCGCAGCTGCTGGTTCTGGTGCCGGAGGGGCGCGCCCCGTGTGGAAGGGAGAGGCGGAGCCCCTGGGTTGCCTGCTCCTTCACCCCCAGGGATGGACATTTCGATCACGAAATGCGCGTCTCTGAATACCCGCCAGCGGGCACCTGCTTTGCCTCCCAGGAGCCCACCCTCTGCTGCTTGTTTGGGCTTGGCCGGGCTTAGCGGGCCCTGCAGCCGGGCTGGCGAGGAGAGAACCAGCCGAAGGAGGCAGGGCCGCACGACTGGCGGGGCAGGGTCTGCAGATCCTGTGGGCCTCCGGGAGCTTCGGGGGGGAGCTGGGGGGGAGCCCAGAGGGCACGCAGGAGGTGGAAGGGGGGGTGAGGCCGTGGGGCGGCCCCCACCCCAGGACCCAGTGGAGAAGGAGCAGTGGGGCGGGGTCAGCACCACGGCCAGCTCAGGCCCTGGCCCCACCCCGCCAGGGAGGCCCACCTGGGACCATGGAGGCCCACTGGGGACCACTGGGGGACCACCGGGGGGGGGGCAACGGCACAGCAGTGCCCGCCCGGAGGACCGGCCCAGGCTTGCCTTTCCTTCTGGAGGAGGGGTCGGCATAGAGGAGGCCCACCACCTGCTCCCTGGAGGATGGGGGCTTCCAGAGCAGGGCGCAGCACCCTGTGGTCTGTCCCTCCCACTGGGCCTGATCTGTGGGTGCAGGAACCAAGCCCCAGAGCTTAAGTGAAGGCCTCAGGTCTCCCCGTTGCCGGTGGAGGGCCGGCCACGCCAGGAAGGCTGCTGGGAGCGCTCTCCTCCCCGAGGCCCCTCGCTTCCAAGACCGCGTTGCTGGCCACCGTCCTACCCCCCGTCCCATGTCTCACCCCATCCTGGCCTGTGCTTGCCTCAGGGACGGACCCCACCACCGTCGCTCAGAAGAGCTGCTGTAGCTTCTCCAGAGCAGGTGCCGCTGTGAGGCATCTTTTCTGTTTGTCCCCTGACCCATCGGGGTCCAGCAAGACGGAGATGGTGCGCTTAGGTTAAATCCTGGGGGCCGTGGGGCGGCCGTTCCAAGTGGGTGCCCTGCCGGGGACCACACGGTATCCCGTTCCCTGGGAGTGTAGCCACTGAGCTGCTGCCCTCCCCCACCCCCACCCTTGGCCTGCAGGGGTGTGGGGAGGAGTTACCCCAGGCAGAGTTCTTCCTCCCGCCCCTGGGGGGCAGCCCTGCAGAGGAGGGTACGTGCTCTGCTTCCCTCCTTCCCATCTCCTGCTGGGCTCCCCACGGGCAACCCGAGCAGGAGGGTGCCGGAGTCTGGACACCATCCACACTGCAAGGGGTGGAGGATGTGGAGGAGGGTCATGCGGGGCCCCTCCAAGCCCCGCCATCAGACTCTTGCTCCGAGCCGCGTCTGTGGGGTTGAGGCCATTGCTGCCTACGGGAGATGCTCAAAGAGCACCTGGTCCTGAGGACGCAGGTCTGACCTCCGGAGGCCGGAGAGCGTGGTCCCCCCATCCTCGCCGCCTCCCAGGTTCCCAGCATCTGTAGAGGCTGCCTTTGCTTCCGTGTGCAAAGCCTCCTGATGAGCTGGGGCTGCCGGCCCCTCCCGAGACCCCGCGGGCACACAGAGCTGAGGGCCTTTCCCGGGAATCTGTGCTGCCCTGTGCCGCCCAGATGTGCTTCGCTGCCAAGTTACAAACAAGCAGGTCTGCTCAGGGACCGCTCTGGCTCTGTGGTCGGGAGTCGGGGCTGTTCTCATTCAGGGACGGGGCAGCTCCCCCATGGCATCGAATGCCACCCTCGCGAGGCGCTCATCCTCGGTTAGCACTGCCTGGGCCGCGTGAGTGCGGAGAGACTGGGCCACGGGCAGCGCCAGCCCTCACATCTCAGCTAGAGCCCTTTGTCCCACCACGGCCCTGGTGCGTGGCTGTCCCTGGGCACTTAATGCCAGCCTGCCCTCTCCCCTGAAGCTGAGCGGCCTCCTGTGAGCCTGGCGGGGAGCCTCTGCCCAGCCAGGCCCCCGGGTCCCAGGGCGGTAGCCAGCCCCGTCCACTCTGCCCTCTGGCTGGGTCCTTGGCACTTGCAGCCGAACCATCCAGCGAGGCTGGCTCCAGCTTCTCCAGCCGGGGCTGCCGTCCTAAATCTCCCCAAGGAGGAGAGACCCGGTGGTGGGCTGGTTAACAAGAGGCCCCGGGGGATGTGGCTTGGCTGGACCTGGAGGGGGGTTCAGCCTGGGGGTCCCTCGGGCTGAGGGCTTCTCTCTGCATCTCACCCTCCCCTTAAAGCAGGGACTCGGTCATCTTCCCGACTCACTGGTCCATTGGCCAGCCCTTCCCCCTCTCACCCCTCACCCCCAGGGGCCGGGCCAGCCCCACGGAGGAAGCCAGACGCCGTCTGGAACCTCGAAGCTAAAAACGTCACACGAGATCCACTCTCCTTGTTCATTTTACAGACAAGGAAACTGAGGCCGAGGAGGGGCTGTGGCCCACACGCCTCAAGCTTGCCTGGGTCCTCATCCCGACCTCTCGGTGTCTTTCAGCTCGTGGGCTTCGTCTGTGCCTGCTATGTGGTCAGCGTTTTCACCGAGGAGGAGGACAGCTGTGAGTGTGCGGCTGCCTGTGAGCGCCCGGCTGGACGCTCCAGGCAGAGACGGAGGGACAGGGAAGCAGAGGGCTGGCGGGGGGTGACTCTGCGTCCTCCTGGCCTGTTGTTGGCAAAGCCTGAGACCTCGCCTCTTGGGTCCCCATGCCCTTGGGGTCCTTGCCTGAGCAGAGGGGTGGACGGGCCCAGCCACCTGAGAAGAGATGAGGAGGGGATGCGGGCTGTGGCACCAGGGGTCGTCTGGCCCCCAAGCCCCCAGGCTCGAGGGCTCCTGTGCTGCAGGGCTGGGCCCTCACAGCGACTGTGGATGCAAGGCTGAGCCCTCAGACCTCCAGAGGGATGGGTGCCTCTGCCTCCTGGCAGCTGAGGACCAGGCCCTACTGGCTGTGGTGTCCCCATCTCTGGACCCATCTGAGCCGCATCTTTGTTTTCCGCTCCCAGAGCTGGGTCCCCTTGACCTTCCTCTGTTTTGCAACGTCAATGCTGAGACGCCTCGCCGGCCCTGGCTGCCTCTGGCTCTGACGTGCTTTTCTGGGAAGACCCTGCAGAGGACAAGGCTGGGTGGGTGGGGACTGGGTGCATGCACCTAGGGGGCCACGGCTCCAGTGGGCAGAGCTCCCCCTGGGGTCAGAATGGGGATTCAGAGCCTCTGTCCCCGGGAATCAGGTGGCTGTGGGGTTGGGAGTGCACGTGTCCGAATGGCACGCTGTCCTCGGCCCCCAGGCGCCCCAGCTCCTGTGCCCCATGACCCCGACACCGTCTCCCAGACCACTGTGGCCGGGAGAGAACCAAGCGGACCTCACCTGTTGGTGAGGATGTTTCAGGAGGGGAGCCAGCCCGGGGGTTGGAGAGGCGTTGCTCTGCCCAGCAAGCCCTGCTACCCACTGGCCATGCAGACACAGCCTCGGGGGGCAGGTGATTGAGGTTCGTGGACGTGGGGGGCCAGGGGTTGAGTCACAGTGAGCTCCCTGCGGCTCTGAGGATCCAGGCTGTCCGGGCCTGCTCTGTCCCCCCAGGCCCCCCACCCCCAGGCTGAGCTCGTCGGTGTCCACTGGGGAGTCCCACTGTTCGTGCCCTGGAGGGACACGGCCAGCTCTGAGCTGGGCCTGGGCTGGTGCCTGCCCTCCCCGGGCCCTCAGGCTCGCGCCGGCCTCTGCCGTCACCGCACCAGCGCTCGGGCTTCGGCGCGTGCTCCATCTGCCCTCGTTTCCATCGTTTGGGTCTTGTTTTATTTGGGTCTCGATTTCTTTCAGTTGATTTCATTGGTGGATTTGACCCATTTCCTCGCTACCACGTCAGTGAAAAGCCTTCCAACCTCTTGCTCAAGCAGGTGTACGTGTAAGTACGGCCAGCAGAGCCTGCCCCGGCTCGGCCTCGCCAGTCGGATTAGCTTCTCTCCCTGTGGAGGCCTCACCAGGCAGCCATCTGTCCATCCATCCGTCCGTCCATCCGTCATCTGTTCGTCCACCCATTCCGTCCTTCTCCAAGATCAGCTCCGTGCGGGCTCTGGGCTTGGCCCCCACCCCCTGGAGCTCCATGCCCAGCAGTATATGGAGTCGGGTCTAAGACAGTTTTGTTCTGGGGCTGAGGAGGCATGGGGAGGCCACCTCCCAGGAGGGCGGCGTGGCTGTTCTCTAGGGGCCTCACTGTGCCAGGAAATGTGGGGTGTTGGTTTCCTATCTTTGGAAAAATCAGACTTTTCTCTTAAAAAGCAGTATCCACGACCCCAGGCTCAGGGTGACAGTGCCTGGGCCGCCGGCCCACCTCTCAAGCAGCCAGCTTTGCCAGGTCCCACACCTAAGCCTGAAGTTTGGGGGGCCCCAGAGGCAGCTGGTGGTCCTCCTCCGGTAGAGCTGCGCTTCCTTCATCCCACCCAGGCCGTCAGACAGGATCCTGCCCTCGGGCCACACCCGTGGCATCCCCTGGGGACCCTGGCCCTCTTGGCAGCCACACCTTTTCCGCCCCTTAAGAGAAGGCCCACCTCAGCCTAGGGCCGTCTGGGGGAGCAAGCCTAGACGTCCCGTGACCGGAGGGCGCTCACTCGGGCCCTGCGCCAGGGCAGGGGGTGAGAGCCGACCACCCGGAGCACCACCCAGAGCACGCACCTCTGAAGGAGTTGGCCAGGCTGGAAGGGCCTCTGGGGGTCTCCCTCCAGCCCTTGGAGCTTGGGTGGCCAGAAGGACCACGGTGGGCCCCTCACTGCCCCCAGCTGCCGGCCCAACGCCTGGGGAGGTGTCTGCAGACACGGGGCTGCGCCCGCCCGGAAGCCCTCCCCGCTGCCCACGGGGATGCTGCCCCTTTTGCATCCGGAGCTCTCCGAGGCGAGGGCACGGCAGCCCCTATCGACTGCTGCCCCCCCCACCAAGGGTTGCTCCCCAGGGGCGCCCTGACCTCTGCCCACCTCCGCCTTCCCCGCAGGCCTGCGTAAGGGAAGAAGCGCCAGTCCCGCCTGCTGGCCCCAGATGACCAGGACCAGCGAGCCTCCCTGCCCTCGGGGCGTCCCAGGCTGGAGATGCTGCAACTTTTCACACACACACACACACACACACAAAAGAGGAAGGGAAAGAACAGACTGATCTCTGTCACCCAACGCCGGCCTGGGACTGCTGCACACCCGCTGCTGGGGGAGGGACGTCGAGACGGGAAAGTGTGAGCTCACCACGAGGGGAGTGTAAACCCACGGTGACGCCCCCGCCCGCTGAGCAGCACCTGCCTGCCGCAGGGAGGGGTCTCCGGGCAAGTCCCCGCCCACCCAGCGCCCTGCTGACAGAGTCCCTGGCAGGTCCTGGTCCTGAGCCAGGGGCGCTGTTGTTCACCGAAGGGATTTAAGCCCCGCGACCCCCTCCCACCAGTGGAAAGTAGAAGGACGCTGCCCCCTAGGCCTCATTCCTGAGAGGCGGGGGTTTGCTGGGGAATCCGAGCCCAGTCCCAGAAGGCCTGAGGCTAGGTGGGCCGGGGGGGGGGGGGGGGGGGGCAGATGGGGAGCGGGGGCCCTGCTGCCCTGGGGTGTGAGCCGGCCGCCTGTCCTGGCACAGAGGCTGCTGGGCACCGTCCAGGAAAAGCCCAGCACTTTATTGTGAATCTCCAAAAGCACTCAAGCGCAGTAAAAGTGCCTTTACACCCGCTTCCTTCCACCGTGCGGTGTGTCTGGGCACTTGGGACGGCCGGTTCGGGGGCCTGTGCGTGGCCGCAGGGACAGGCTGAGATGGATGGGCGCCCGCGTGACAGCCAGCACTGGAAGCGCCTGGGGGAGGCAGGGATGAGCGGGCTGCTCCCAGTGGGCTTGTCCGCCAGCCAGGGACCTCAGCCTGCAGGGAGTCCCCCCGAAACCCCCCCCCCGCCACTTGACCCCCCCCCCGGGAGATTCTCGGAGAGATGGTGGGGGCACAGAATCCTTTGACAACCAGGAGGAGGTTCCTGCCATCCGTAAAAATCTAAGTTCACGCTCCCCTCCCTCACCCGCCTGGCCCTGGCTGCCAGGCCAAGGTCCTGCCCAGGCCTGTCCTCATAACGATGCACCTCCGGAGCCATGCTGCCCTGGGCCTGGCTGCAGCCCCGCACACCCGGCCGGACAGGGGGTGTTATCCCCCCCATCACTGGGGAAATCAGGGCAGAGATGGCCCCGGTGGGTTAAGGTGCCCCAGCAGAGCGGTAGTGGCCACCAGGGCGCAGCGTTGGGTAGGACCCAGAGCCAGGATCTAAGCGTCCAGGGAAGGTAATGGGGTTGATTAGCAACGTCTGCCGGGACCAGGGAGGTGGAGAAGTCAGAAATGCCACCTCCAGGCAGCCCCCTGGTAAGACGCGGTGAGCTGGGCTCACAGCCTGGGGCTGTCTGAGGTCCCTGAGGCCCGGGCGGGGGTTGCCCAGGCCAGGCCAGGCTGGGACAAGCCTGTGGGTAGCTCCGAGCACTCACCTGGCTAGGGCAGGAAGGTACGCACGCAGCTGTGGATGGGGGCTCTGCAGACGGGGCACAGCTGCAGGGCTGGCGCGCACTCGGCACAGACCAAGTGGCCGCAGGGCACGAAGACGGTGCACACGGTGCGGTCCAGGCACACCTTGCAGACGCGCTCCTCCCGCAGGCGTTGCAGCTGCTCCTCTGCATCCCGGGCTCCTGGGGGTTCAAGAACCCAACAGCACCCTCTGGGCCTGGGCTCCACCCCCTCGCCTGGACACACGTCCACCCCCCCCCCCCCCGCCAGACCTCCACCTTGTGTACTGGGCTAATGGAAGAGGAGGAGGGCTGGGGCCAGGCCAGGAGCGCCCCCCCAGGATCCGAGGGAGCCGGCCCTGCCCCCAAGTGGGCCCGCCCTCACCTGGCTCCCTGGCCCCTTCGGACTGGACCTCCCTTCTGGGCGTGGGCAGCTCAGGACTCATGTGGACAGGAGCTGTAGGTGGTGAGAACAGACCAGAGGCCCCCAGGGGAAGTGAAACCCCACCCAGAGGGGGCCGCAGGCGGGGTCCCCCTCCCGCCCCTCCCACAGCATGCCTGAACCCCCGAGCCTGCACCCCCGGGACATGCCCCTGTAGCCCCTGAGCAGTGGCCGCGGGAGCTGTGTGCCAGGCACTGGGGGGCAGCGAGGGAGGGCCGTGCGCTGAGGGGGCGGGGGCGGGGGCGCACCTCTGGCCTCCGCGGGGCAGCCCCCGTCCTCTTCCTGGAGCAGGTCAGCCACCAGCTGGGACGCGGATACACTGGCCGGCACCGCCCAGCGGTACTTCTGCTGCACCAGCTGCTGCACCTGACTCCGCCCGAAGCCCATGTGGAGCGCAGCCTGCACCGCCGGGCACTGGCTCCACGCGGACCACTCCTGGCTGCCCCTGGCATCTGCAAGGCAGGGTGAGGGGCAGCCGGCTGGCCCCTGTGGCCCGCCACCAGGGCCACCTCCACACAGGGGCCTCCGCGGCCACTCGGCGGCGCTCCCGTGAGGGCTGTCCCCCGAGCCTTTGTTCAGGGGTGTCATCAACAGCAAAGTGAGCAGAGCCTCGTCAGCAAGGCCCTAGAGACAGCCCCCAACCAGGTGCCCGGCGCTGCTCACGTAGACCCGGCTTAGTTCTAAACAGGGTTGGCACCATCGGCTTTCGGGGCTCAGGGAGCAGATGTCCCTCGCTGTGCAGTTACAAGAGCCGGGGTCTGAACCTGAACCTGACCACCCTCAGTGCTGGGCACGGGGTCAGGCGGCACCTCTCCTCTTCGTGCTCCCACTGCCAGCCCTGGGATTGGCGACGCCCACGGTGGCCTCCTCCGAGGTAGCAGGGGACTGCTTTGGCCTCCCCTGAGCACCAGACCCACCGAACGCCTGCGCACAGCCCCCTGGCCCCCAAAGCAAGCCCACCCTCACACCTGGCCCCACTGTCCCTGCCCCAGGACACGTCACGCATCACGGCTCACCTGACGGGGTGGCAGGGGCCGTGTCTTCTGGTTCTTCTGATGGGTCCTGAAAGGAGCCAGAGGACATCTGTGCCGTGAGTAGACACAGGAGTAGGGGAGGGGAGGGGAGGGGAGAGGGAGGGGAGGGGAGGGGAGGACCCGCCCGGCCCGAGCCCTGCAGAGAGAGGCAGGACTCACCCAGGAGCCCAGCAGGTGGCAACAAGCCTCCTGGACGCTGCAGACAAAGTCCCGTCCCTTTGTCTGGAGCAGGAATTGGCACCTGGAGAAAGCCGGGGCAGGGGGCGAGGGGGGAGGCGTCAGGGCAGTGGGCCCGGGCTGCTCGGGAGCCCCTCCAGCCAGCGTCGTGCCCGCGCAGTGCCCCGCGGAGGGCAGCCGGGGCAGCGAGCGTCAGCACCTGCTGGGGGCCGTCCTGGAGACAGCCTCTGCCGAGCATCGGGGAAGAGACAGGGAGGATGCTGTTCCCAGAGGGGCCCCATCCCCAGGAACCACCCCCCGGAGAGGGAAGCTGGCCGTGCCCAGCGCCAGGAGCGGCCTGCAGGGTCTTTACCTGGGGAACCACTTGGCGTGCTCCGTCCAGGGGTCATCCCCTTGCTCCCAGCTCTGCAGACCCCCGTAGCAGAAGAAGCACCTCACTTTGTCTTGCTGGCCTAGGTGGAGGGTGGACGCTGGCCTTGCCCACGCCCAGCCTCCCGGCACCCGCCCACTGGGCCAAGCGTGCCCCCGAGGCTGGTTGTGGGGACCCCTGGTCTCTGCCCCGTTTGCCCTGTATTCTTGGATCTCACAGGCACCCCACTTTCTCAAGGTGAAGTGGGGAGAGTGGAGCCCGGGGAGTGGCGCATGGTTCACTCACAGGAAGGCAGGCGGACAGTTAGGGGTGGGGGCCTGGAGCCCCGAACATTCCGTCCCCAGGATGGATTCCCAGTGATGGAGACGGGTGCCTGCCGGGGTCCTGCCTCCATCGGGACGCGGCGCCTCCCGTCTCTGCCCCCGCAGCCCTCACCCGGCCTTGCCCTGAGCCTTCAACAGAGGCCGCAGGTCGGGGCTGCTCCAGTAGACCCCGAGAGCCTGTCCTCGGGCCCCGGGGACCCCGCGGGCGCCCGCGCACCCCCCCTGCCCTGTCACTTGCCACGGTCTGAGGCATCCGAGGAGGTGGCGGGAGACAGGCCCGGGAAGGCCGCAGGACCCCTGCCCCCTGCCCCCCTAACATGGGGCCAGACCCACCATGCGGGGCGCAGGGGCTCCCGGGGGCTGCAGAGCTCCATCCAGAAGCCCCCTGAGCGGCGCCCAGGCCCCCGAACTCACCCGTGTGGAAGAAGCCCGCCGCGGCCAGCAGCTCAGGCCGCACCACGGCGGTCAGCGGCCAGGCGGAGAAGGAGGCCAGCCGCAGCTGCTCCGAGCCCATCCCGGGGAAGGCCGGCCTCGGGGGGCCAGCCCGGGGCTCCCCTGCCTCCTCCTCCTCTGCGAGGGGGCGCAGCTGGCCCAGGATCTGCCCGTCCACGCGGTCCCGGCCTCCCCAGCACCGTGCACAGCGGCCGTCTTGGCCCTCGGTGTGGCCACAGGGAGAGAGACGTCCGCGGCCCAGCTCGGGGCCACGGCACCAGCACTTGGCCCTGTCCTCGGGCCCCATGGAGCCCACACAGGCCCTGGCCAGGCCCACGGCAGTGACGGGACCCACGGGAGCCAGTCCTGGAATGCGTCCAGCCGGCCCACCTCACGCCTCCTGACCCCTGGGCCCTGCCTGGGGACGGCAGTGGCCGTTGCCTCCCGCAGCTGGCACGGTCCTGCCCCCGATGCCCCAGGTGGGGGAGCGGCCGGGGGGCCCACTGCCTTCTGGAAGGGGCCAGCGTGGCAGCCAGCATCACGCGCTCTCTGCAGCAGGGCTGTGTCATGGGGCTCCCAGGCAGGGGCCGCGGTGCTGCGAGCCTTGCAGGGGCTGCAGTGCAGCTCCATGCACAGGCTGCACAGGGGTGGGGGGTGACTCTCGATGACTCTCGGTGACTCTCAGGAAGGAGAGGGCAGGGCGGGAGCCCGGACACACCTCCCGAGGCAGCAAGGGCTAGCGTAGGGGGAGGGGGAGAAGGGGCAGGCCATGCCATGGGTCAGCTCCGCGTTCCTGGGCCAGATGCCAGTGCCAGCTCCCGAGGGCAGAAGGTTCCAGGGGCTCTGACCTGTGCAGCTATGCCCCTCATGGGGGAGGGCAGCCCCTCCCACAGGGAGGACACCGGGCTCCCATGGACGGGGACACCTAGGGAGGGGCAGGCCCCTGGGGCACGTTACCTGCCATCCTGCTCTGAAGCCTGAGCAGAAGGGGGCGTGAGACACGCGTGTGGCTGCCGGGCCGGAGCAGGAGGGCCTCCGCGGGTCGCTGTGCAGCTCTGGGCCGTAAGCCATGGAGATCGGGGACACCTGGGCTTGTGCCCCTGCTCTGGGGAAGGGGCTGGGCTCACCTCTGTGACCTCTGTGACCTCCCTGCCCAGCTGGGACGAGGCTGGAGGGTGAAGCCGCACAGCACAGGATCAGTTTCCCCATTGGAATTAGAGCCCCCGCGGCCCGGTGACCCAGACAGCAGGGACCTTTGGGGAGGGGTCACAATTCCCACCGCCCGTGCCGGCTGCATCGGGCCAGTCCCGCTGCTGGGCCGACCAGACCAGCCAGCCCACTGCCCGGCCTGGGGCCCCCTGCTCTGCGGCAGAACCGGCCCGCCTCCCCGGGCCTGGCTGGGGCACCCGCCCTGCTGGGTAGGCCTGGGGTGGCCCCACTGCCGGCCAGGGGTCCCAGGCTCCAGTACCGCACTCGCCCAGGCCCAGATCAGAACCGCTGGCCACGTGGGACGGGCTTCACTCAGAGCTAGTCATGCCACGCGGTCTCCACCAGCCGCTCAAGCCCAGGGCCCCGGGTGCCCCCACCCCAACAGTTAGGGAACGTGAGAGGACGGCTGCACCCCGGGGAGCTGCAGCGCCGCCCAGGTGGGCAGAGCAGGCTCTGATGCGGACGGAGGGACAGAAAGGCTGGATGGGGGGTGGGGGCCGTGTGCCTGCCCCGCAGCCCCAAGCTACTGCCTGCTTCCCGGAGCCAACCTGGCCCTTCTGCCCGCCCAGGCCCTAAGCCCTCTCTCGTCCCTAACACGCGTTCCCTGGCAGCGCCCAGCTGGTGTCAGCACGTCCGCCCACAGTGCAGCAGCGCTTGCAAAACAACTGTGTGAACAAAGTGAGGAGGGGCACCCGGGGCTCAGCGGTGAAGCGTCTGCCCTCAGCTCAGGTCATGATCCTGGGGTCCTGGGGTTGAGCCCCATGTCGGGCGCCCTGCTCCGCAGGGTGTCTGCTGCCCCTGCCTCTGCCCCTCCCCTGCTCATGCTCACTCTCTTTCTCCCTCAAATGAATAAATACATTAAAAAAGAAAAAAGAGTAAAATGAGGAACCAGGCCTGCTGACAGGTGGTAGGGGCTGTAGGGGCTGATCGGGGGCAGGGGGGACTAATGGGGGGCCGGGGGGTGCTGACAGTGAGGAGGGAGGGCAGGATGGGGGCGCAGAAGGGGCTGACGGTCGGGGTTAGGGCTGCCGGCAGGGAGGGCCATGCCCCAGGGGGGCTCACAGAGGACTGTGAGGAGGCGGAGGGGTCTGGGGTGTAACCCAGGTTAGACCTGGCCAGGTGCCCGTCCCAGGTGCCCTCACTCCCTTCCGCGTAGGGGTGCGTGAACTGGGCCTTGGACCTAGCCCGGGCTCCTATATGCCAGCCTGTGCCCCCGTGCCGGGGGTGGGCGCTGGCCCCTCGCCCTTGAGGAAACCCGTCATTGTCCTGGCTACACCCGCTGCTCAGCCCCAGTGCTGCCAGGGTTCCAGAGCCCCTGAAACCTTCTCCTACCAGAGACCCAAAGCCACTGGGTTCCTTGCAGGAGATCCCAGGAAAAGGTGTGGCTGGAAACCAGGCAGCAGTGCCCAGAGCAGCCGCACCCCCTTCTCCGCACGCCCCATGCCCGCTCCCAAGGGCACAGTGCCCAGTGGACAGTGGAGAGAGGGACAGGGGGACGCCTCGGGGACAGGGGGGCTGGGCCCATGGGCTGGTCTCAGGATGTCTGGGCCCTTGTCCCCGTCCGTGCCCCACTGCCCTGGATACAGAAGGGTCGTTACCTGTGGCCCCTTCAGCAAACCCCAAGGGCACCTGCCCCAGGGTCCGTCTGGGAGGTTTCCTCAGGGGCGACCCCTCTGCCCCGCGGCACCCCCAGGCTCAGATGGACAGAGAGGTGGGTAGCGAGTCTCCAGCCCGTCCAGCCCCCGGCTTGCTGTGGGCCCTCTGGACCTGGGGCCGGCCGGGGGCTCCGGGGGGGCCCTGGCAGTGGAGGCGGCTCCCCCTGGGGGGTGCCTGTGGGGCCTATTGCCTCCCATCCTGCCGCTGGGCGCAGGGACGGAGAGACAGCGGGTCCCTCCCTCATTACAAAGTGGGGGGAAGGCAGCGTCTCCTGATGTGGAATCTCCCCCGAAAGGAGGGTTTGCTGCCCGAGCCGAGGGAGAACCCTCCCCTCTGCACCCGGGGCAGGTGTTCCACAGGCCTCCCGGCGCGCGTCCGTGCAGAGCCGCCCGCGGGAGCAGAAGCCTGGGCCCTGGCGGGGAGCAGGCTGGAGACCGGGCGCCCCTGCGGTGCATCGGAGGGTGGGCGAGAAGCGGGGGGTGGGGGAGGAGGCCCGGCGCCCACGGCCTTGCTCATCCGCACCCACATTTGAAATTCTTGAAACGAATTATCTGCGAGTTGCTTATATAATTAAAGAGCAACGGGGAGATGCAAACAGCTCTCGCACGCTTGTTCTGGCGATGTTGATAATATTGAAAATACAGAGAAAATAAGTCACCGTCTGAACCAGTGCGGAGGCACCGCCAGGGCCAGGTTCTGGGTCTGAGCTTGTCCCAAAGCTGTGTCTCAAGGTGTCATCCTGGGGCTGGGGGGGGACCCCTGCTTGCTTCTTTGAACCTCCCTGTGAACCTGTTTCAGAACGAGCCGCTCAGGCGCCCAGAGCCTCGCCCACTGAGAGGAGCTCGGCCGCCACCGCCGCCACCGCCGCCACCGCCCACTCCCGGGCCGCCCGGCTTCTCTGCTAACCGGGCAGCTCTCACACACGGAGGGGCGTGTGCCGACGCCCCGATGGCTCCCGTCGTTGACTCGGGGCTGCTGTGTCCTTACAGCGAAGTCTTCCCAGGTAGGACGATGCCAGACGGGACATGAGCAGACACCCGGGTCACCCCAATCACCTACGGCTGGGGCTCTGAAGGCCGCCCCGGACCCACGCGATTTGCTCCTGGAGCCCGACGAGACTCCTGCCCTGCCTGAAACATTCAGAGCCAGCTGGGGTTGGACGGGAAGGTCCGGGGCGGGGGGGCTTCTCCCCACCAGAGTGAGGGGCTGGCCTGTCGGGTAGGAGAGGGGCCAGCTCAGCATCACCACCCACAGTCCCCCTCCCCGAGCCACACGCCCACCTGGGAAGGTTCTCACGTGGAAGCCGTGTGACGTGCCCTTCACACAGCGCCGGCTTTCCTTGCAGATGATTGGGGCCGGGCCGGCTGCGGGGTCGGGGCGGGGGGTGTCCACCCACTGGACACACTCCCTGGGGTGAGGCTTCTGAGGCCAGGCCTGAGTCCACAAAAGAGGGGAAGGGAAGTGGAAGGTCAGCCCCTGGCTCTTGGGCGCCCGGGTCGGGCCTGCTGCCCAGGCCTGGAGGCATCCCACAGACCGCCCTGAGAGGGGCAGGAGACCCCCTCCTTGCTGGGAACAGGCTCCGTGAGCTCTCCGCCCAGGAGCCCCGCCACTGCGGCCACGGAGTGAGGACTCCAGGCGACCACAGGGCAGCAGGCAAGCGCACGAGAGGCCAAGAGAGGCTTTGGGCTTCGGAGGGGCCAAGAGGAGGTGGGCAAGGATGGGGGCAGAGCCCTGGCGCTGGGAGCCTGCACACGCTCCCCCCGCCGTGTCCTCACTGCCGCCCTCCTCACCTCACGGCCCCTGCCCGGTGGCCCGCGCTCCATCTAAGGCCCCCACGGACCCAGTGCTACAGCCGGGCCCCTTGCTGATGGTGACGGGGACTCTGTCCTTGCGCTGCCGCCAGCAGAAATCCCAGCCTCAGCACAGGGAGGCCGTCGGCACGGTGGAGGCCAAGGCAGCCAGCGCTGGAGGGCGAGAACCACGTCTGGGTGGTTCTCTGTGGGCTCCTCCCGGCCCGGAAGGGTGCCTGGCCAGGGTGCCACGAGGACCTGCGGGAGGAAGGCCAGCCAGGGGTGGGTGGGGAGGGAAGGGAGCCAGGCGGGCTGGATTCCACTGTGTCGTCCCCCCAGAGGATGCCTCTGTGTACCCCACCTTTTTTCTTTTTTCAAGATTTTATTTATTTATTCATGAGAGACACACAGAGGCAGAGACCCAGGCAGGGAGCCCGATGCAGGACTCGATCCCAGGACCCCGGGGTCATAGCCTGAACCAACGGCAGATGGTAACCCCTAAGCCAGCCCCTGTGCCCCTCCTTCTTCACCCCTGCATCCTGCCTGCGCTCTCCAGTGGACCCTGGGTTATAAGTGCTGGTTGGGGTCACAGCAGGAAGCATAAGGAGGGAGAGAGCAAGTCCCTGATCCTGGGGGTGTTCCTCGGGGGTCA